TATGGGGATTAAGGAAGTGGAACTGGTTTGAGCTTGAAATTATTTTGGTGTGGGAGGGGCTGAAAGAACATACCCGGCAGTGCTCAGGGCTTATTCTTGGCTTACTGCACTCAGGGGTCACTCCTGATGGATTTGGGGAACCATATGGAGTGCTGGCGATCAAACCGGATTGGCCATGTGCAAGGCAAACGCCCTATTTGCTCTACTATCACTCTGGCCCTGAATTGACTTCTGCCAAGAAATGGAGGAAATTCAGATGTGGAGCGATAGCACAGTGGTAGGGCGTTTGCCTTGCGCACAGCCAGCCCGGCCGAGCCGGGTTCGATTCCTCCGCCCCTCTTGGAGAGCCTGGCAAGCTACCGAGAGTATCTTGCCTGCATGGCAGAGCCTGGCAAGCTACCCATGACGTATGCCAAACACAGTAACAAGTCTCAAAATGGACACGTTACTGGGCCCGCTAGAGCAAATCGATGAACAACGGGAGGACAGTGACAGTGTTCAGAGACTAAATGATTTTATGGGGGGAAGCAATATTCAGAGAGCCCCTCCCATGCTCTGTCAACTGGACCTGATGGTTCGGGGGCCTCCATGAATACACCGGCGGTGCTCAGGGCAGCCATGTGGAGCTGGGGATCGAACTCAATGCATCGAGTATGCCATGCCTCTTTTGCAAACCACAGCACCCAAAAGGAGAGAGAGAACAAAAGGGAATGCCCTGCCACAGAGGTAGAGTGGGATGGGGAGGATGGGGGGTGGGAGGGATACTGGGATCAGGGGTGGTGGGAAATGGGCATTGGTGGAGGAATGGGTACTCGATCATTGTATAATTGAATCATTGTATAATTGTATCATTGTATAATTGAAACCCAAGCACAAAAATCTGTAAGTCTACAACTGTACCTCATGGTGTTTCACTAATAAAAATTTTTTAAAATTTTTTTTAAAAATTTTAAAAAATTAAAAAAAAAGGCATCAAGTATGCAAAGCATCAAAGGCATCAAGTATGCAAAGCTAGGCATCAAGAACCTAGCTCCTGGGGGCTGGAGCAATAGCACAACGGGTAGGGCATTTGCCTTGCACGCAGCCAACATGGACAACACAGGTTCGATTCCCAGCATCCCATATGGTCCCCCGAGCACTGCCAGGAGCAATTCCTGAGTGCATGAGCCAGGAGTAACCCCTAAGCATCGCGAGTGTGACCCAAAAAGAAAAAAAAAAAAGAAAAAAAAAGAACCTAGCTCCAGAGCCTTGACGCTGGTATTTTTTTTTCCTTTTTAGGTCACACCTGACAATGCACAGGGGTTACTCCTGACTCTGAGCTCAGAAATTACCCCTGGCGGTGCTCAGGAGACCATATGGGATGCTGGGAATCCAACCCCCGGGTCGGCCGCGTGCAAGGCAAACACCCTACCCACTGTGCTATTGCTCCAGCCCCAAAGCTGGTATTAACTACAGCAAAAGGAGGCAAGGCAGGCTGGTGTGATCTCTGGCAAAGACACAGCAAAGGAGGCTGGAGCAATAGCACAGCGGGTAGGACGTTTGCCCTGCACGCGGCCAACCCGGGTTTGATTCCCAGCATCCCATATGGTCCCCTGAGCACTGCCAGGGGTGATTCTTGGGTGCAGAGCGAGGAATTACCTCTGTGAATTGTTGGGTGTGACTCAAAAAGAAGAAAAAAAGCCACAGCAAAGTCATACTGATGAGGGAGATCGTTCAAAGGGCTGAAGCACAGACTTTGCTTGCGAGAGCCCCTGGCACTGCATGATCCCCCTGCAGTGGGAAAGGGGTTCCCCTAGCCGCAGAACCACAGGATGTGGCCTCCCCACAAAAAGCAAACAGAAAAAAAAAAAAGGTAAACAGCAAATGGGGAAATGGGGCCAGAGTGATATTACAGTGGGGGAGGTCGTTTGTCTTGTACACTGGCCAACTCTGCTTCGATCCCCGGAAGTTCGTATGTTCCCCGGAGTACCTCCAGGAGCAACCCCTGAACGTTGCCAAGTGTGGTCCCCCAAATAAACAAACAAAAAAAGTAAGCAGCCAGTTCTTCTGGGCAGTGCCAGCTGTCCCAATCTTGCCTTTCCTTAAAAAGCCTAAGTAAAGGCAGGCTGAACCTTCACTCAGAAACCTTTTACTCAATTTTTTAAATTTTAGTTTTTGGTTGGTTTCTTTTTTTTGGGGGGGGGGCGGCGGGTCACACCCAGCAGTGTTCGGTGCTTACTCCTGACTCTGAGTTCAGGGATCACTCTGGAAAATGCTTGGGGGACCATATGTGGCGCTGGGGATTGAACCCCCCGCCATGAACAAGGCAAGCGCCTAATGTGTTCTACTATGACTCCGGGCCCAGCTTTGGCTTAACTTTGCATGTTAGATGGAACGTTTCTTCGGACAAACCTACCAAGAACTTACTTGTTCTCCGGAGCCTGACACTTCGCAGTGCATTCTTCCTAGAAACTTGCACTTCCCTGTCTTTTTTTTTGGTGTGTGTGTGTGTGGGGGGTACACATGGAAGTGCTCAAAGGTTACTCCTGGCTCTGAACTCAGGAATGACTCCTGGCATTTCTCGGGAGGACCGTTTGGGATACCAGGGATCGAACCTAAGTTGGCTGTGTGTAAGTCAAACATTGCTCTGGTCCCTTCCTGTCTTTTTTCCTATAAAAACCACTTTTCATGACCTTGTGAGATGGTTACTTTGAGTGTGTGGGTTTTTTTTGCTTTTTTTGGGTCACACCCGGTGATGCACAGGAGTTACTCCTGGTTCATGCACTGCTCGGGGGACCACATGGGATGTTGGGAATCGAACCTGGGTCGGCTGTGTGCAAGGCAAATGCCCTACCAGCTGTGCTATTGCTCCAGCCCTGAGATGGTTACTTTGTGGGCACAAGTTTCCCACCTTCCAGCCGGTTGGCTTTTGCCCCTGGTTGTTTGTATTTGGGCCATATCCACTTGTGCTCAGGGTTCGCTGCTGGTTCTGTGCCCAGGGATTACTCCTGGCAATGTCCCGAGCACAATATGCAGTGCCAAGGACAGAACCAGGGTTGCACAGAAGCGGCTGCAAATATCAGGCAAGTGTCTGACTTCTGGTACTATCTCTCTGGCTTATCTGACTGTAATCAAATAAAGCTCCAACCCCACCAGTCAGGTTTCTGGGTTGCTTACCCACCTGCAGCAGTGGAAGCAGACTGGAAGGGACATGCAGGAAAATCACAGACTCAATACCAGAAGGCCCATCTAGGGCCAGAGACAGTCTAGGGTAAGGTACTTGCCTTGCATACAGCCCACCTGGGTTCAATTCCTGGCACCATCTATAGTCCCCCTAGCCCTGCCAGGAGTGAACCCTGAGCACAGAACCAAGAGTTGCCCCTGAGCACCCCGGGGTGTAGCAAATCCCCTCCCCACCTTGCACTTTCTTAGGATCCTAAAACTGCACAGTGAGATCTCGGTAGGAAGTACCCCCATTTCAAGAATGTTAAATGCGGTTGGAAGAAGGCAATACTCTAGTATTATTTGGGGCGAGAAGCCAAGTGAGTATGAAGGCTAGCACGTTACAAGGGAAGACAAAAATCCACCCTGTTCCTCCCTAGACGCTAGTTCATCTCCCACCCTAACCTGCAGAGTACACTACCGGAGCTCTGAGATGGCGGCCGGGAAAGGTGGGCTTTCACTGTGATCTGAAGGGATCTGAGCGTTGGTACAGGGCCTGCCTTGCATCCAGCAGATCCTGACTCCAACGGGGGGGGGGGGTCCCCCAAATGGTTGCCAGAGCCTCTTCAGGAGCGATCTTTATTTATTTTTTGCTATTTGGGTCACACCTGGCGATGCACAGGGGTTACTCCTGGCTCATACATTCAGGAATCACTCCTGGCGGTGCTTAGGGGACCCTATGGGATGCTGGGAATCGAACCCGGGTCTGCCACATGCAAGGCAAACGCCCTACCCGTTGTACTATCACTCCAGCCCTAGGAACGATCTTCCAGCACCGAGATAGAGATAAAGAAAGCCCTGAGCACTCCCGGGTGTAACCACAAAAAAACCCAAAAGAAAAAAAAATAAAATCTGTGAAGTGAAATCTCTCAAGGACTAGCACAGCCTTTTGTGGCCGGCACCCAAAGGTGGGGGCGGGGGTAGGAGGGGGAAAGCGTTGCCATGGCCACCGGGCCAGTCTGGTTGGTGGGGCTCTCAGGGCTGTGTGACCTTGGGGAGGGTCACTTATCTCTGGACTCTGGGTTTGAACATGGACGGGGGGGGGAAATGCCCAAATCCCGGGGGAGGCGTCTGCACGCGTGCGCCCACATCCCACAGAATTCTTCACCTCTGCGCCGCTCGGTGTAGACGCGGCACCTCGAGGTTCTCCTGAAGAAGCAAGCGGTCGTTTCCGCGGACAGGGACCGAGCCCAAGGCCACACAGAGCCGGAAGATCGGGAGGAATTCAGCCGGGTCCCAGGTCTCCGCGCCCTCCCCCACCACCCATTGCACCCCCCGCCGTTTTCCCGCCCGGGGCATCTCCCGAGCGCAGGCGGACGTGGCCAGGGAAGGGCGACCGCGACCGCGATCCCAACCCGGGAGCTCGCGTCGCGTCGGCGACACCCCCGCGGCAGCCCCCCTTCCCCCCGCCATCCCCGTCCCGACCCCCCGCGGAGGGCGAGTTGCCGCGCTGGCGCGAAGACGCCCTCAAGCCCGTAGGCCGGCGGCCCCCCGAGCGCGCGGCCCTTCCCGCCGCCGTGCGGGGCGCCGGGACCTAACGGGGTCGCGTGCGGGGGGCGGGGCCTCGCGCGATTGGCTGAGCCGCGGCGGGGGGCGGGCCCTCGGCGAGCCGGCCGGGCGGGCGCCCACAATGAGGCTCCATAAAAGGGCGCGGCGGGGGGCTGGGGCCCCGGATGCGCCCTCCCCGCCCGGGGTCCGGACGCTCTAGAGCTCGGGGCGGCCGGACCGCGGCCGCGCCAGGCCCCGGGGGTCGGGGGCGGGGGGTGGGCAGGGCAGGGCAGGGCCGGCCGGCTGGCTGGCTGGCGGCGCGCTCGGGGCCGCGCATGTGGGGGCGGCGCGCCGCCAGCGCCCCCGGCCCCGCCATGGCCCTCAAGGCCGAGGGCGCCGCGGCGCTCGACTGCTTCGAGGTGACGCTGAAATGTGAGGAGGACGAGGACGAGGCCATGGTGGTGGCCGTGATCCCGCGGCCCGAGCCGGTGCTCAGCGGTGAGGAGGGGAGGGCCCTCCGCGTCCGGCCCCGCGCCCCTCAGCCCCTCAGCTCCCTCAGCCCCTCAGGCCTCTCAGCCCCCTGAGCTCCCTCAGCCCCTCAGGCCTCTCAGGCCCCTCAGCCCTTCAGCCCCCTCAGCTCCCTCAGCTCCTCAGGCCCTTCAGCCCCCTCAGCTCCCTCAGCCCCTCAGGCCCCTCAGCCCCCTCAATCCCCTTCAGCGCCTCAGGCCCCTCAGCCCCAGCCCCGCGGCCCGGACCCCCCCCCCCCGCCTTTTCTCCTCAGGGGTCTGGAGCCCCGGCGCGCGCGCTCGGCCCCGTCCAGGCGTAGGACCAGGGGCCTCCCCCCCCCCCCCCCCTCCCCGAAGCCCTTCCCGCCTCGGCGCCGGGGCTTCTGCAGCCTTCGATCCGCGTGCCCCGACGCCCCCTCAGGCCGGCCGCGCGCTCCCGCCGCCCGGGACGCACACACAGGCCCGGGGGAGGGGGGGGCCCAGAGGGGTGCTAGGCCGAGGGGCCGCGGTGGCCGGTCGGAGGGGGTGGCGGGTGGGCCCCGCGCGCGTCCTCAGCCCCTCGCCGCTCCCTCCCGCGGCTGGCGGAAGCCACAGGTGTCGGAGCCCCCGGGGTGGGGGATGGGGAGTGGGGGGCGGTGGGGGTTGCCCACTGCCCGGATTCTGGGGGGGGCGGGAGAGATGGCTTTGCTGGGTGGGGGAAGGGGGGCCGCACAGCGACCCCCGGGAGGAGACTGGCCCGAGGGAGGAGGGGATCGGAGCTGGGAGTCCGCGCTCCCCCTCCCCCAAGCCCTGAGTCCGCTGGCGTTTTATAAACCCCGAGACCACAAAGGCCGGCCCTGGGGGCCGATTTTGCATTCAAGATAGGAGTACAAGTGCCTTTTATTCCCGGATATGTCTTCCCTTTGGAGGGGGTTGGGGAGGGGATTCCCACCCCAAGAGGAGGGAGAAGGCATTTGGTGTGGGATGGGGAAGCAAAGGCAAGCTCCTTCCCAGCCCCCCATCACCCCCCGGGGACACCCCTCTCTTCCCCCTTTTAGCAGGTGTGGTGCTGGGCCTTAGATCCAGCTCAACAACCTTTCAGCAGTGGAGGGGGATTTGGTTCATTCAACAAGTGTTGGGGGGGTACCTATTGTATAGGACAGCACTGTTTTATTTGTTGTGTGTTTTGTTTTGGGGGGATCACCCTTTCCTGGCTGTGCTTAGGGATGATTGCCCTGGCAGAGGGGGAGGTGGGGGGGAGGGGCTCTGGGAATGACGGGATGGATCAAGGCAGGGTTAGCTTCAGAAGCAAGGCAAGCACCCTACCCACTGGACTCGCTCCTGGGGCCCTTCGTGAGCGGTTTGAAATTCTAGTAAATGTCTGTGTACACCCTTTGGGGGAGGTTTAGGTAGAAATGACCGAAACCCAAGTATGTCAGGTGGGGAGAAGGGGTTCATGGAGCATTGAAGCAGACTCCAGAGAAATGAGCAGGGCTGAGAGTTTTGATTTGGCACTTGGAGTGGTTACAAAAGAGTTCTCTAGGAAAGTGAATTGTGAGCAGAGGCTCACAAGAAGTGAGCGGTAAGCCATTTGTAAATAACTCAAGGGTGGGTATTTCTAAGCAGAGAGCAAGACAGTACACAAGCCTAGAAATAGAAGTTTCTAGAAAGATGGAGGTGGGCGAGGAAAAAAAAAAAAAGATGGCTTTAAGATCGTTGGCCCAAGCAGCTATTAAGTACCAGAGGACAGGAATCCATTGGATGAAACTGTAAGGCTGGGGTGCGGACTGGTGGACTGGGAGTTAAAAATCGAATGTGACTAGTTTACATTGCTATGACACAGTCAGGAGCAGAGGTCAGGAGCGGAAGCAGCCTGGGAGGTGGAACTGAGGGGAGAGGCTGGTGGGCACTGCTGGCAGGCCACTCAGGGAGCAAGATTACCACAGCAAGGAGTTAGAGAAGGGGTCTGAGGTTTGCCTCGGGGGCCCTCCAGGATTGCCACTTTAGGAGGAGGGTCTGCCTTTTCAGTGTGCTCCTGTATGCCAGGCACTGTTCTTGGAGCTGGAGATGCCCTCCTGGACCCTGACACCAGGCAGCTGGGGAGGCTCAGGGGGAGAGGAGGAGGAAATGAGTGAAAGGATATGGGGTGCTGTCTGGTGAGGGAAGGTGGCAGCCCTTTGAGGGGCCGACAGCTTTAGTGACCGACAGCTTTAGTGACCGGATGCCAGAGGTTGGGAAGACCCCCACGGGTTTGGGCAGGGCCATGAGGGAAAGGTTGGAGTTGGCCCAGCTCACTGGCTTCATCTGGATGCATGAGCCCAAGCTGCAGACTTAAGGAACCAGCTCAGCGTGGTTGTGTGGCTCTCAGCCTTGTAGATCTCAGACCCTGAATTGTGTTCATCTCCCCGCACCCCGCAGTGACCCACATGCCAGGTCCCACAAGCACTGACAGAGAAGGGAGAGGAAAGTAAAATACGGGTACAATTTTTAGAGCCAGTAAAGGAGGGGTGGGGAGATAAGATGAGGGTTAAGGTGCTTGCCTAGCGTGTGGCCAACCAGGGTTCATTCTCTAGCACTCTGAGCCCCACCAGGAGTAGCCTCTGAATTCAGAGCCAGGAGTAAGCCCTGAGCACTGACGGGAGTGTGCCCCACTCCCCAAATAGTAAAGGAGCCAAAGAGGAACAGTGTGCCTTGCACGCAGCTCACCCAGGTTTGATTCTCGGAGTCATACTGCATATAGTCCCCCAAGTCCTGCCAGGACTGATCCCTGAGCAGCTGAGTGTGGTCCAGAAAGGTACAATAAACGCTTGAGGGCCTGAAGGGAAAGGTGGGAGAAGCTGGAGGGATGGTGTAGACCAATGATGACGACAGTGGGTGCTGGAGTGATCCACAGAGGCAGTGCTTTCTGTTAGTCCCCTAAAGAAGGTGGATTTCTTTTTCTTTTTTTTTTTCTGCCTTTTTGGGTCACACCTGGCAATGCACACGGGTTACTCCTGGCTCTTCACTCAGGAATTACTCCTGGTGGTGCTCAGGGGACCATATGGGATGCTGGGAATCGAACCCGGGTCGGCCGCGTGCAAACGCCCTACCCACTGTGCTATCACTCCAGCCCCAAGAAGGTGGATTTCTGCATGGGGGCTGAGTGATATTTTGTCTGAAATGGGGCCTATAGACCGCTGTGGAAGTTTTTTGTTTCGTTTTGGAGTGATACCCGGTGGTGCTTGGGGCTTACTCCTGGCTTTGCACTCAGGAATTACTCCTGATGGGATATATATGGGATACTGAGAATCAAACTCCGGTCGGCTGGGTGCAAGACAAGCACCTTACCCATACCCACTGTACTGTCTCTCCAGCCAGGCTGTGGAAGTGGGGGAGCCTCTGGTGAAGAACGTGCATGTCCTGGGACATCAAGGCTGTGTAATGTCTCAGCACCCCCTGGGCTCCCTGCGGAAGACCCGGTGTTCTGGCCCTTGGGACCATCACTGACAATGTCCCCATCTTCCCCTGCAGTGGCCCCGCAGGAGAAGCCTCCACTGCCCAGGGCTGGCCCACCAGAGGCAGTTGACGTCTGTGAGGAGCCCAAGGAACAGATGCCTTGGGAGCAGGAGTTCTTGGTGGGGAACAGTCCAGGAGGCAGCGGGCAGGCTCTGTGCATGGTGTGCGGTGCCGTCATCTGGGCCCCGTCCGCAGACACGGCCCGTGCACACATCCTGGAGCAGCACCCTCACACCCTGGACCTGAGCCGGGCCGAGAAGAGCAACATCCTGGAGGCCTGGAGCGAGGGGGTGGCCCTCTTGCAGGACGTCAGAGCTGAGCAGCCCAGCTCGCCTAACCCAGGTAGTGGGGCCTGGCAGGGAGGGGCTGGAGAGGGGGACAGGCCTTCTGGGGCTTGTGGCTCATCCAGCGGCACTTCTTTCTCTCCAGACCTAGGCCCTGACAGCGACCCTGACTCCGGGCTCGACCCCACCAAGATGCCGGCAGAGATCGTGGTTCTCCTGGATTCAGAGGACAATGCAGTCCTGCCCAGACGGGTCCGGCCCAGGGGACTCCGCCCTCTCGAACTCCTGGGTCAGTCCAGGTGGAAGGGTGGAGAACAGCCACCAGGCAGGGTGTTCCACCACCCCAAGGTGGTGGGCTCAGGCCTGGTCCCTCAGGAACCTGCTGGGTCTTTCTGCAGCGCCCCCTGCTGAGCCTGGGACCAGGAAGCCCCGTGGGCAGAGATGGAAGGAGGGCCCCGGGGAGGAACCCGTCCGCAAGAAGAGAGGCCGGTCTGTGAGCAAAATGCTGGACCTGAACCCTGACCCTGACCCTGACCCAGACCCAGGTGAAAGGGAGCCCCCGTGGGGGTGGGCAGCCAAAGTGAGGCCTACTCACGCCTGGCCTCAGGGAAGTTAAGGTGCTTATGTGTCCGTCCTCTCCCAGACGAGCTCTCGCCAGACTCCCCGACAGAGGCTTTTGCTGCACCCGTGGAAGTCCGCCACTTCACCGATGGCACCTTCCCCCCGGGCTTCGTCCTCCAGCTCTTCTCCCACACGCACCTCAGGGCCTCTGTCAGCAAGAGTCAGCCCATAGAGGAGGAGGGTGCGCCAGCACCAGGTGAGCCAGACGGGGCAGACTGGTTGCACACCCCCCCCCCCTTGAGCAGAGTGGGGGGCTTCACTGAAGGGAGTCGAAACGCAGGTGCATCTGAGTGCTCCCTGAGCTTACTTCCAAATCCTAACACCTGTTTCCAAACTTAAGGTGGTGTCCGGTGGGTTCCTGAGCAGCCCCTACCCGCTATGGTGGATAGGGCCCGAAAGACCTTTAGCAGGAGAGCAAAGGTGTGGGTACCCTCAGAACACGCCTCTGGGCACGAGGGATCTCTGATGCATCTCTGTGCCTCCTCTACTGCAGCCCCAAGACCTCCAGCCCTGCAGTGTAGATAGAAATGCCCGAGTTTATTACCCGTCGGGCCTGGAGGGCAAAAGCCAGGATGGGTCTCCCTGGGCTGTGCTCTGCTCTGCTTTTCTCTCCATACCCAGCGGAGGGGTGGAAGCGAGCCCACTTTATCCAGCCCACCCAGATCACCCAGATAAGCCCTTTGTTCAGAGTCAGGAGCCCCCCTGAATCTATTTCTCCTTTGTTCACCACTTTGCTTATTCACAGGTCCTGGTGATTAGGACATGGGCAGGGTGGCAAGGGGGTGGGGCAGAATTCACATTAGATGGGCACACCTGCCAGGAGCCCAGGGCTGAACCTGTTGCTTTCGTCTTGAAAACCCACCAGGAAGCGCTTCCTGAGTGAGTGAGACAGCCTATCCAAAGTGTGCGCTCACTCAGAGTAGAGTAGGGTCGGGGCAGGGTTCAATTCCACTTGACTCCTCCAGCAGGGTTCCCTGTGTGCAGAAATGTAGACGCTCTGAGTTTATCATGCTGCCAAAACGGGTTCCTTTTTGCTGATCTTGAGGCAGATTTAACCCTGAGAAGATGGAAGGCTTTTGTTTTTTTTGGGGGGGGGATTTTTTGGTGTGTTTTTTTTGGGGGGTCACACCCAGCGATGCTCAGGGGTTACTCCTGGCTCTGGTGGTGCTTGGGGGACCATATGGGATGCCGGGGATTGAACCCAGGTCGGCCACATGGAAGGCAAACGCCCTCCCCGCTGTACTATCGCTCCAGCCCCCAGGCTTTTGTTTTGAGGGGTTACATCTAGTGGCACTGGGGAACATGTGTCAGGGCTTGAATCCAGGGTTCCTACCTGCAAAGACCCCGGTGATCTGTTGCTTTACTTTTTTTTTTCCTTTTGGGTCACACCCAACGATGCTCAGGGGTCACTCCTGGCTCTGCACTCAGGAATTACTCTTGGTGGTGCTTGGTGAACCATATGGGATGCCGGGGATCGAACCTGGGTCAGCCGCGTGCAAGGCAGACGCCCTGCCCGCTGTGCTATCGCTCCAGCCCCTGGTGCTTCACTTTTGTCTTGAGTCTCAGCCCTGCCTGGGGACTCAAGTACCTGGACTCCAGTGTTTTGGGACTTTTGCCAAGCATTGTCCTGGGAAGGGTCGAGTTCAAAGTGGCTCAGAATCTAGCACTGAAGAAACCAAGTGACTTGCTGGTGTCCCTGGTGCCTGAAGAGCCATCTGGTGAATGACATGACTGAGGCCACTTTGTACCCAGCGGGTGTGTCTGGGAGTCCGGGGGAGGCATGATCCAATCCCACAATGATATTTCTTTGTTCTAATTCTTTGGTTTGGGGCCACAGCTAGTGTTGCTCAGGGCTTACTCCTGGCTCTGCACTCAGGCACTCAGATCACTCCAGAAGGGCTCAGGGGATCGTGAAGGATCAAACACAGGTCAGCTATGTGTAAGGCAAGCACCTGACCCTCTGTACAGACGGTCTGGCAACCTCCGTGATGGTTCTGTGCAAAGTGGAGGGTATAGACCTATTATGGTCTGACTGTTTCCAGAGGCCTCCGTTCGCCAGTCTGCTTTCACTTGGCCGTTTCTGTATTGGTTTTGTTTTTTATTTTGGGGCCACACTTTGTGGTACTCAGGGATCTCTCCTGGTGGTGCCTGGGGAACCACATGGGCCAGGGTTGATCCCGTGTCTCTGGCTTCCCATTTCACTATTTTTCCAACATCTTGGTTTCCTTTTTTTTTAAATGGGGTCATACCCAGCAGTGCTTTGGGGGTGTGCCAGGGATTGAACTCAGAGCTTTGCACATGCCAGGCTTGTGCTCTACGCCTTGAGCTGTCTCCCCAGCCCCATATTTTTGAAGGTCTCTGCATAGAAGCACGCCAGTACTTGGGCCCCTGCCCGTCCCCGTGAGCAGTCTCCCCAGCCCTTGAGAGATTTTACTTGAATAAAGATTCTGTCTCCTGAAAAGGGAAGCTCAGAAATTAAGGATTTAGGGGCAGGGGAGGGGCTGGAAAAAAAAAACAAAAACAAAATCCAGGACTTAGAGGTGCCCTGAGAGATGGTACAGTGAGTAAGGTGCTGGCCTTGCATATGGCCACCCCGGATTTGATCCCCAGCACTGCATATGGTGCCCTGAGCCCGCCAAGAGTAGTATCTGAGTGCAGAGCCAGGAATAGCCCCTGAGCACTGCCAGGTGGCCCCAGAACAAAGAAAAGTCAAGAATTTAGAAATAGGAAGAGGGAAGAGGTTACTGTGGTCAGGTCCTAGTGGCATCTGATTTGAGTAGGTCCGGCCGTGTGGGGGGAGAGTGCTTGTGTGTGTGTGTGTGTGTGTGTGTGTATTACACGGGCACGCACAGCACTTCTCACGGGCAAGTCCTTGTCTTCATTGCTGCTGCTGAGGCCTCTGCGTGTCGCATGGTGCCCTTAGTTACCAAGGGCCTGACCAGGCGGACGCCGCTGTCTGCACTTGTCACTCTGCTATTGATGTTTCCAGAACCGCTGCCCAGAGACAAGCCAGAGCCTGGAACAAGAGAGGCAGACACAGCTCATCCCCAGAGAAGGTGTGTGCGTGTCCGCACGCTGGCCCAGGCGTGGACAAAAGGGCCATGGTACTGGGGTTCATGAGGGTCAGCCAGGAGGGAAAGGGGCAGTGCTGGCTGTGGGCGGCTGTTTCTCTGGCCTGGGGCTCCAAACACACCCCAGATCTGCATTCCTCCTCTCCCCTTCTTGCACGGACACTGCCCCGTGCTCACCTTCTGCGGGGTATGGGGAACTTGTGCTGAATCCCCCCGTTTGAAAACAGAGCTCACTTGGCCAACAGTATGCTTCCCCTATTTTTTTAAGTTTGATTTTTGGCCACATCCAGCTGTGTTCAGGGATCAGTCCTGGTGGGACTTAAAAGACCGTTCTGGGGATCTAACCTGAGTGGGCCACGTGCAAGGCAATTGCCCTGCCTGCTATGTTCTGTCTAACCCCTTAATGTGCTTTGTTGACTCCACACCGGCATGCTCAGAGCTTACTCTTGGCACTACTCTCAGGGATCACTCCTGGTGGGATTTGAAAAACCACATAGGATGTTGGGGATTAACCTGGGGTCAGTCGCGTGCAAGACAAGCAGCCTACCCATATGCAGAACTATCATTCTGTCCCCTTAATGGTTTGGATTTCGTGGGGGGGGGGGGCGGGGATGTGGGTCACACCCAACGATGCTTGTTCAGGAGTTAATCCTGGCTGTACGCTCAAGAATTACTCCTGGAAATGCTCAGGGGACCATATGGGATGCATGAGATTGACTGGGTCGGCTGTATTACAAGGCAAACACCCCACTATCATTTCAGTCCCCCCCTTTTTTTTCCTGTTTTTGGTCCATTTTGGGTCACATCTAATGATGCTCAGGGCCTATTCTGGCTCTGCACTCAGGAATTGCTCCTTGCAGTGCTCAGGGGACCATATGGGATGCCGGGGATTGAACCCAGGTGGGCCACATGCAAGGCAAGTACCCTCCCCGCTGTGCTATTTCTCCAGCCCCTTAATGTGGTTCTGCACCCGTATTAACTCTTGAGGACACCCACAGCTAACGTTCGGGTTTGAAGTTTGTGGAGGAAAGTGGGCCTTGGGAGGGTCAGTGCCACGTTCAGGGCCAGCCGCCCGCCCGGTCAAGAGTAGCCGGGTGTATTTCTGCCCTGGGCTCCAGGCCTCGCTCCAACCATTCCTCCCCTCGCCCACAGCAGCTGTCCCGCTCATCGCGTCCAGCAGAGCAGGCGACCTGTTTTCTGGGCCCACGACACACCAGTTGGCTCTCAGGAAGATCAGGTGACTTCTGTGAGGCTGAGCCTGGTGGTCTGAACCTCGCGCCTTCTGGTTATTTTGCTTGGTTTTGGTTTGGTTTGGGGCCACCCCCGGTAGTGCTCAGGGTTGACTCCTGGTGGGGCTCGGGCGACCCTGTGGGGTGCCAGGGATCGCATCAGGCTTGGCTGCATGTACGGCAATGTATGTATGCTTTCCTCACTGCCCTAGCTCTCTGACCCCTCTCTGCTCTCTTGGCGTTCTCGTTCATTCACACCCTCCCAAGTTGGATCTCTAGTTATCTTCATGTTTTTTTTCTGCTTTGGGGCCACACCCAGCAGTGCTCAGCTTACTCCTGGCTTTTCTTTTTTTTCCTTTTTGGGTCACACCCGGCTATGCACAGGGGTTAACTCCTGGCTCTGCACTCAGGAATTACTCCTGGTGGTGCTCAGGGGACCAAATGGGATGCTGGGCGTCGAACCCGGGTCGGCCGTGTGAAAGGCAAGCGCCCTACCAGCTGTGCTATCACTCCAGCCCCCTGGCTTTGTGCTCATGAATCACTCCTGATGGGGTTGGGTGACCCCATGGGATGCTGTGGATCAGACAAGGCAAGCGGCCTCCCCGCTCTGGCACCTCTTCCTTCTCTCTTGGAAAAAGTCGGCGGCGTCTCCTCGGGGGAGGCAGGGTATTTGTCTGGTGCTGACTGATTCCTCTGGGACTGACACAGTAGGTGCTACTCGAGGATTTGGGGAGCAAATGGCTGAATGAGTGCCTGCCCAACTGCGCATCCGGGTCTGCACTCACCCCCACAATCCTATTTCAATACCATTCAGTTGTTCACAACCCCCCACCTTTTGTCCTTGGCCCTCTAACCTGGGCCTCTCCCCTCCAGCCTCTCTCTACCGTTGGTCCTTCTGACTGTGCTGTGTGGTTGTCTGAACTCCTGACTGAGCCCCCAGCCTCTCGCCTCACCTCAGCCCCCCTGCTTCTCCATTCTTCCCTCCCCTCTGGAGCTCCCGAGTCTGCCCGTACTATGCCCCTGTCATCCTTTTTCTCACGCCCCACATCTTCTTGGCCAAAGTGTGTTCAGATCCACATTCCTGTCACCCCCCTCCCCTGTGGCTGGTCCAAGACGGCTCTGCTCGTTTCTGGAACAAACCTGGAGCTAATCTTTGGGCTTTTGATACTTGTTTGTTGGTGTCTGGTCCCCTTCATCCATCAGCCAGTGTTCCTGCCTAAAACGCAAACCATAGGCTGGCTGGGGTAGCACCTTAGGGCCGGGGCACAGGCACATGCAGCAACCTGGGTTTGCTCCCCACTATCACATGATCTCTTGAGTATAGGGGGTGCGGGTGGGACCCAAAGAAGAAATTAAAAAAACTAGTCACCACTCCACTGAAGAGCCCTCATGGTGCCTGACGACCTTTTCTCAGGATCCCCTTTGTCCCCCTGGCCCAGAATGCTGGTCTCAGCTGTCCCCACGGATCTCTGCCACGTGTAACTCCCAGAGGTCCCAGCTGCTCCCCCTCTGCACGTAGAACACATTACGTCCCCGAATAATCGATCTCATTCGCTCAGGGCTCCATCTCCCACATCACGTGATCTAAAGCACCAGCAGGAGCTACCCCCAGCATGGCCAGGTGTGGCCCCCAAAACCCACTTAATTTCTCTCACTGATTGGCCTTCCTGCTGGGCTGTCCATTCCTGGAAGGCCACCAGGACTTCTCTGCTCCCTGTTGGACCGGAGATTGTTGAATGGCCGAGCCAATGAGCCAGCGTCGACCCTGTCTCAGCGACTTCCTTTTGGGGGAAAAGGCGGGTGCCATATCAACTCAGGCACAGACAAGCAGAAAAGGCTTGACGGAATTGCTCTGGGTGCTCATAACCTGCAGTGTTCTGGGAGGTCATGGCGTGCTGGGGTCAAACCTGGGGCCTCTGCCACCTCAGCCACATCCCCGGACTTGCTCGGTCCTGTTGAGTACCAGCAAGACCGTCTTCTCGGCCCCGTTGAAGCAGAGCAGTCGGGTGGGCCTAGGGGTGCGGTGAGAGCTGGGAGCTGGCACCTCGCGAGAGGTGGGAGCCAGGGTCGGTTTCCTTAGCAAACAAGTTTAAAATAGGGACAGCCCTAGAAGAACATCACAGCAGGTCACACTCGGGGCCGACACCACAGTAGTTACAGTCACCACCTTTTTGTTTTCGCCTCTGTGGGATGGAACCCAGGGGCCCCCGCCTTTAGGCCGTCTCTCTCCTCAGGCTCTGGTTTGGCCCCTGAGCACGATCGCACTTTGCAGCCCGTTTTTCCATCTTGGCGCCCAGTTTGGTCTGTAGCCTCTCTGCTCTGCTGGGGAGACATCCAGTCTCAGAGAAGTGGGGGCGACCCTGGAGATGGCAGAGGCTACACAGGGGGACTGGGCGAGTTAACCCCAGGCCTGGCCAGCACTCCTGCCCACCTGCATGATCGCTCCTCGGTACCGTAGGGGGCAGAGGCCCTTAGCTGCTCATGCTGGGCAGCACCCTAGTCTAGCGCACCCCCAAGTTTTCAGTGGAGTGGCGTGACCAAAGGTAAAAGATGGGGCAGTGGCTTAGCTTCCCTGGGGTGCGCCTAGAACCTGGTGGCTGGACAGCAGATGCTCACAAAGCCCCCATTAACCCCCAAGAGCCTCCCCTCTCCAGGAGCAGGGTCGCGGGGGTGTCAGCTCCCAGGAAGGCCTAACTCTGTTCTCTGCTCCTCTCCCTTCCTAGATACTCCGGAGCTTCGCGGGACACTGGACCTCCAGGTTATCCGCATGTGCACGGAGGAGCCACCTGCCATCAGCCTCCTGCCAGACTGGCCCAAGCACCCACCTGGTGCCAAGGCTGTGGGAGCAGGTGACCCCGCCAACTGGCCTGCGGTTCTGTCCGAATCCGAAGCTACTGCAGGGGGACCACCAAAGGCAGGCAGTGGGGTCTAGGCCGTAGCGTGGCAGAGGAGAGAGGAGGATGCGGCAGGGCCCCCACCGCCTTGGTTTGTTACCCAGAACTGCCCAGTTGGCAGATGGCAGCGGGCACGGGCAGGGTGGAGGAGGGGACACTGGCAAGGGGTGAGTCCAGGTTCGAGGTGGGCGGGGGCTGAGCTGGCACCCGGTAGGGCATTGGGCCTCTGGAGACCCCCGTACCCTTACCTTTTTGCTGACCCCAACCTCTCTGTCACCCCCTTCCCTCTCTCCTTTTTTGCCCCCACTTTCTCCCTTGGCACAGTGCCTTACACAGAGGTGGTCAGAGGGGTCGGAATACCTCGGGGGGAGACCTCCGGCCCCCTGTCTGTTAGGCCCCATCCCCGGAAGCCTCCATTACCTCTTCCTGCCCTTCCCTGCAGGAGGCTGCTGCAGCCCCCGGCCCCGGGGGGCCCCCCCATTCACCCCCCCGCCGTCCCTTCCCCAGTTCTCTGTTGTACATAACTCGTTTGTTGACAATAAATTATTTTTTTTATTGAGAGCTCCGTCTGGGCCGTCACTGGGGAAGGAATTCGGGAGCTGGAGCTGCGGCCTGAGCAGGGTCGTGGCCTGACACTGTGGACAGAGAAAGGGGGAGTCTCGCCCCCTGGCTTGGAAGTGGAAGCCCGTTTCCAGGCCAGCGGCCGACCTCCATCCAGGTGCACCCTCCTGGGGCAGGGGGACGCTCAGCCCTGAGCTGGCCTCTGCCTTAGCGACGTGGAAGGACACGGCCCGCCTGTAGTGGGGACCAAGCTTCTCTCGGGGGAGGGGCTTGCTCTGCTCTCAGCTGCTCCCCTCGCCTTTGCTTTGTGAACCCTGCACCATAGCTTCTCTCTCCCGGGGCCAGCGAGGTCCACTTCCATCCCTTAACCAAATCCCGCACCTCGTCCTCAACCGACCAGCATGGGCCGAATCCACACGGGGTTTTATTACCCCCACCCCTTTCTGGTCCCCAACTCCCAAGTCCCCGAGAGAATTGGGGGGCATGTATGATAGTAGGACAGTTCACTGTGCAATCAGGAGAGGTGATGTAAGGTGGACATTCACCTTGATGCCTCCACCAGCATCTGACCAGAGAATGCAAAGTTTTCTGGGAAGGTTATGGGTGCTGTCCAGGGTGGGTGTCACCCCTTGACCAGCCTATGCCAACCCAGTGGGGACTGCTTGGCCCAGGAGAATCCCGCCAAATCCCTAACTGATAAAACTTGGGAGGAGCCCACGAGTGGGCAGAAATAGTTTTGGGGTAGATTTTAGAGACAGGTAGTGGGAAAGGCAGTGGGATTCAAGACACCTGTACCTGGTGATGCCACTCAGAATCCCCCAGGTCCTCCCCATCTATGTACCCCTGTATCTTGCCCAGTAGGGTAGAGCAGAAATAAGCAAAAAGCCTGATTCTGTCTGCAACGTGACTGTGAGTTCCCGCGGGTGTTTCTGTCCGTTCTGACTGCTGTGGCTATGTTTACATTCATGCCGATGTGCTTTGAGAATCACGTGGCTATGTTGCTCGGGACCTCAGCTCCCAGAACGTGTGTCCACAAGCTGCCCTTTGTCCAGTTGTGGTGCGGTTCATGATTTGCCTCGCTAGACCATGCTCCTGCATAGGGCCCGGGGCCCTATCTTGCCCTGGCCTACAGTAGGTGCTCAATAAACGTGTGTCAAGTGCCCTCTTGGTGTGTCTTCCTCTGCGGTCTTTTGCAAGCTGGTCCCTGGAGTGTGGTTCTCCACCTGGTGCCAGTGATGGCACAAGCAGCACTGCAGGGCCCTGCCCAGAGTCCAGCAGAGCAAGGGTCCTGGGGGTGGGGGTGGCAGCTGAGTCCAACAGGGTGCAGAAGGAAGTTTCTAGGTTTGGTTTTGGTTTGACAGTGCTTGTGCAAAGCCTGTGTTTGCTTCAGCCTTTGAGCATATTTTTGGGCTACACATGCCCAGTGATGCTTGGGTTACTCTTGGTTCTGCACTCAGGAATTATTCCTGCCGGTGCTCGGGGGACCATATGGGATGCCGGGGATCGAACCTGGGTCGACTATGTGCAAAGCAAACACCCTGTCTGCTGTACTATCCCTCTGGCCCCCGAGAGTTTCTTTCTTCTTTTTTTTTTTTTTTTGTATTTTGGGGTTTGGGGCCATACCCATCACCCCAGAGAATACTAGCAAGAATATCAGACCCCATGACTGGCGTTGGCCCCTTTGTCCAGTGATGGGGACACCACCTTGAAGGGGTTACAGGGGGAGGGGACAACAGGTCATCATCTCCAGATCCTTTCTCTGTGGCCACTGCCTCTCTCCTGCCCCCCTGCTATCCCCCTTGACTGGGGAGACCTACACAGACCTCAGATCGTGTGAGTGAGTCCAGAAACCAGGGAAGGAAAAAGGTCCTTTCTCCTGGGAGGGCCTGGGAGAAGAGGCCATTGGCTGCCTCTGCGTGTGGTTCAATGGTCAGCCAGCCCCCTGCTCGGCCCAGGTGGCATCCAGGAGCCCTAAGTCCTCCCCTACCAACTCTGGGTAGGGGGCTGCCATCTGACCTCCCCAGGCCAGCACAGTGGGGGTTACTGCCTGCAGTGACCAGACAGGTACCCCAGCCCCGAGGCGCCCCCCCACCTCACTGAAACATCTGCTCTGCTAAGGGACAGCTTCATGGAGGTACCTGCGGGAAAGGAAGTGGGGTGACCTCCCCGGCCCCAGTGCCCGTGTTTCCTTTCCTCAGACCCCACCTCTGAGCCCTCCTTCGGGCTCAGGGTCCCTCACCCGGAAGCAGCACACAGGGCACTGGTCTCTGGGGTGTTAACCCCAGATGGTGCCAGGAGCCCGTGGTCTGAGCTCCAGGCAGATTCACCATATTTGTAGGTGCCCACCACCTGCCCTGGCCCGTTTCCAGGGTCCACTTCCTGCTGGCAGCTGCTGGATCCCGCTCTGGGCTTGGAAGGTGCAACCCGGGGGGATGGGGTTCACCACTAAGGAGGGGGCACAGTAGGAAGTGGCTAGAGAATATGCTGAAGGGCCAGGGCCCCATTTCTCATCCCTTTCTCTAAGGGTTGCTTTGGACACCCCCATCCTACCTGGCTAGCCTGGTCCTCAGTGACCTCGAACCCTGGCTCAGGTAGAGTCTCCTTTTTTTTTTTTTTTTTTTTTTTTTTTTGCTTTTTGGGTTACACCAGCGATGCTCAGGGGTTACTCCTGACTCTGCACTCAGGAATTAATCCTGGTGGTGCTCAGGGGACCGTATGGGATGCTGGAATTCGAACCCAGGTCGGCCGCATGCAAGGCAAACACTCTACCCGCTGTGCTATCGCTCCAGCCCCGAGTCTCCATATTTGCAGGTGATCAGGACACCAATACAGTGACACCCAAAGCTGGGGCCATCTATGCCAGACCCTACCCTGAGCCCCGTATCCCCTCTCCCTCACCAAGGCCAAAGCCTGTAGCCCACCACCACCACCACCTCATGCCTGGGGGCCAGCAGTTGGTTTCCAAGGCACTTGTCCACGCTTGTCCTGCCCAGCCAAACCCTGGCCAGATTCAGTTTGTGCCAGGAGAGGGCCGAGCACGCCTCGCATATGTGAAGCCTGGGTTCGATCCCCCCACACCACGAAGGGTCAAAGGAGATGGCAGGGGCCTGGTGCTTAGGGGTATTGCTGGCTCTGTGCTGGGGGGTTGTTCCCGTCGGTAGTGCTCTGGGGGACTGTGGTGCCAGGATAGAACTTGGCACCCCTCATGCAAACAGAGCATGTGGTCAGCCTGGGAGACCTCGCCTGCCCCTTGAGTGGACCGTCTGAGCAAGAGGCATTGCAGGGAGAAGCAGCTTCTGGCGGGAAGGGTGCTGGGCGAGGAATGCCCCTGTCCTGACTTCTTCCCAGGGCTTGTCCCTGGGGCTTGCTGTGGGCCACACATGGTTGGGGACACAGGACCCCTCCAGGAACCAAGGCATGTCCGGTTTGGTGAGGCTGGGACTGCACATGGCCCTTCCCCTTCTCCCACACGGCGTGCACGTGCGTGTGTGTATGCATGTATGCATGTGTGTATGTGTGTGCATGTGTGCATGTATGCATGTATGCATATGTGTGCATGTGTGTGTATGTGTGTGCACATATGCATGTGTCTGTGCGTGTATGCATGCACATGTGTGCATGTGTGTGCACGTGTATGCGTGTGTGCATATGTGTGCATGTATGCATGTGTGTGCGTGTATGTGTGTGTGTGCGTGTATACGTGTGTGTATGTGTGTGTGCGCGCGTGTGTGCATGTGGTGTGGGGGGGGCAGCCTTCAGGGCACCTCCTCCCAGAGCTGAGCTCAGTCCCCATGTGCTCCCTGCCCTGCTGCTGGCGGTGGCTCCTGAGGAGAACTGGGGGTCACTGTCTCATCCCGCCAGGCAGGAGCTGGGCAGGAACACAGCCGGGTGGGATTTGGGAAATGGTCTCAGCTGGGGCTGCTCTAACAGAATACACTTGGAGCATGTGGGGGCGGGGGGGACAAGAGCAAATACCCCCAAACTGCGTTCTTCCAGCTAGGGCGCTAGAGAGCAGGGACAGCTGTCTTCTCCCACACCCTTGCATGGGGGAAGGGATTGGGGACTGCAGGGGGGGCTTGGTTTTGGTTTTGGTTTGGTTGGTTTGGTTTTTTGGGCCACACCTAGAAGTCGTCAGATCTTATTCCTGGCTCTGTGCTCAGGGGTCACTCCTGGTGGGGTTCAGGGACCGTATGGGGTGCTGGGATCAAAATTGGGACAGCTGCATGTAAGGCAGATGCCCTATTCACTGTGTGCCCCTGGTTTGTAGTCACCCCTGGCACTGCTGGGGGCTTCTCCCAGCTGTGTGCTTGAGGGGGTCATTCCTGGTCATTCCCAGTGCCCAGGGGAACTTTCAGTGCCAGGGACCAAACTGGGATCAGCTGCCACACACAAGGCCAGCACCTTAGCCCCTGCACTATCCACCGTGGCCCCAGGGTGCTCTTGTATAGGTACTAAGCCAGGGGTCCAGGACTCAAAGGGCTGACGAGGAATGCATGCTTGTTATGGAGCACTGAGTCTGGAGTAGCACTCAAGTACCGCCAGCGGTGGCCTGACCCTCTGTACATATAAACACACACATAT